ATATTTAAATGTATAAGGGAAAAATTTTACATGTATTATGTACAGACATGTATGTATCTATGTGTATATGCACACATACACAGTAATGGTGTATATTCAGACACCAGGATTGGGACAAAGGAAAGAATTAAAGCAGGAAATTTCCAACCCTTATACTGTACTATTGTAAGTTCCCCTAGTTACTTGAAAAATAAATTTAGTCCACTGGATTTTTAAAAGAACACTAAATGTGTCATGGAAAGTCCTGGAGTGCAGACAGAAGAAAACAGGTAAGAGGGAAGAAAAGTCAAAACACCAACAATAGAAAATCAGTTCCCAAAAGATTGTGGATCATTGCTTTGAATGTGAAGAGAGTAGCCTGGGTCAGTGGGCAGAGCAGACTGGTGAGCAAAAGTGGTCGAGCATGTGAACTCTGGAGCCAGCTCCCAGGGTTCACATCCCAGCTCCCACTCCCTACCTATGTGACCATAGGCAGGTTCTTATACCTCTCTAGTGCTTCTTTTCCTTAGTTGCAATGGGGAGCTAGTAGTACCCACCTCATCAGGTTGTTAACAGGATTTAAAAAAAAAAAAATCATTGTCATCGAGTTGGATCCAACTCATAGTGACCCCTCCTTGGGTTTCCAAGGCATGTCACTACAGAGCCCAACCTTCCTTCCGAGGAGTGGCTGATGGGTTTGAACTGCCACCCTTCTAGGTGGCAGTCAAATGCCTTAGGCACTACTCCACCAGAGCTCCCCTTAAAAGGATTAAGTGTGTGAATACTGGCTTAGCCCTTCAAGCAGTGGGCCCGTGGTACATAAGAAGCATTCAGTACGTTACCCATTTTTTTTGTCAAGCCTTCCCTTGCCTTTGCCAGATGCAAATACAATGCCCAATATGGACTGTGGGCAGCCAACCAAATAAATGGAGGGGAGGCTTTTCCTCCCTTGGGTCCAGGGACGGTATGTGTTGGAATTCTGTATAGGCGAGGTTTTCCTGCATTATCTGGACGCCCATGAATCCATAGTTTCCACCCCTCCCCCAACATATTTGAAAAATCAGTTCTGCATTTCAAGCACATCAAGTTAAATTTTAGTTTTAGTCTATTACATATTTGGAATTGGAACTTCCAGACCCATTATCCAAATAAATGCAAATGATATGCAAAGAGGTGGTAGCCCCAGATTGTGGGGAGGGGAGTAGGCAGGCCAGCGTAAAGGGCCCAGAATGAAAATTTGCATCTGTTTAGCAGAGCCCTGGGTTGAAGGCTTTGCACATTTATTGTGACAATGTGTGTCTCATTCAGTCATTAACCTTTTGTGCCAAAGAGGAGAGGTAAACTCTTGTCTGATTTCCATATAGAAGGTGACAGTAGAAGTTAAAGGTAGTATTTGGGCAATGCAACATTCTAGCGACTTTTTATGATACAAATAAAAAGTTGTTTTGAAATATCCCAGGCTGTGTCCCCAGCCAGCTGTGTGTCCTTAGACAAGCAACCTCACACCTTCTGTTGCCCCCTCTGTAAAATGAAGGTGTTGAGTTAGATGAGCTCTAAGGTCCCTCCCTCGCACTGTGACATCTAAATGTCAGCCTCCAAATGAAAATCATTTGCACCTGGGATAGCATTATCTACTCACTGTACCAAAGGTTTAACTCTGATGTCTAAAGAAGAAAGGGCTGAGAGACATAATAAGGCACTTGACTGCTAACCAGAAGGCTGATGGTTCAAACCCACCAGCCACTCCTCAGAAGGAAGGTTGGACAATCTACTTCCATAGTGATACTGCCTCGGAAACCCAAGGAGGAGTCGCTATGAGTTAGAATCCACTCGATGGCAGTGAGTTTTGGTTTAGAGAGGAAAATAACCCCAGGGGACGCTGGCTACTAAAAGAAAAAAAGAAGCAGCAGCAAGGCCAAACATGTTTACTTATTACACTGTCAGTCTTACAGCAAGAAGGATTCCAGTCATATACTTCTCGTTGTTGTTCTGTGCCATCGAGTTGGACCTGACTCGTAGTGACCCCTCCTCGGGTTTCCGAGGCAGTATCATTACGGAAGTAGAATGCCCAACCTTCCTTCTGAGGAGTGGCTGGTGGGTTTGAACCACCAGCCTTCTGCTTAGCAGTCAAGTACCTTAGGCACTATGCTACACTTCTCAGTAGGGAGGATTTTAGCCCCTGGAATGCCTGTGGTAGGAAAGTCGTCGGAATTTCTTTTCCTAAGTATTTTAAAGACCAGGATGTATTAACCCTCTGCCTCTGGAGTGCTGCAGATGTCCTCCTGCAGGGGGCAAGGGTGTTCTACCTTCCTGGGCCTGTCGCTGGGGTCAGCCAGTGTCTCTCTGAATGCTTTGCACTGCACTTTGACACTTCTGCCAAAAGGCTGTGGTGTCCTTTGTCTCTCTCTGCTCTCTGATTGTATCTGACGCTTTTGGTGCTCTGCTCCAGGATTCCTCAACTCTACTCACAGCCCTTGAGTTGGATCCAACTCATAGCGACACCTCCTCGGGTTTCCAGGGCAGTATCACTACGGAAGTAGATTGCCTAACCTTCCTTCAGAGGAGTGGCTGGTGGGTTTGAACTGCCAGCCTTCTGGTTAGCAGTCAAATGCCTTAGACACTATGCCACCAGAGGTTTCCTCTGAACCCACAATTTTAACTCCAGCTGTGGCTGCAGCAACCAGCTGAGTGCAGGTATAGCCTGGCAGCCCCTCCACCCCAGAGCTTCTCTGAATCAACCATGTGAGGCACATGTACGAACGTGGAAGCACAGTGGAATTAGCACCTATTGGCAACCCTTGACCAGTGGGAATGGAAAACGCTGGGTAACACTCCTTGTAGGCAGACATTTTGAGATGCAGCTCCTCAGAGGTCTCCAGCATGTGTGAGTTGTCCATCCTGATCATGGATTGCCTGCCTTGAATTGGTCTTCCCTCCTTCCCTGTTCCATTCATCTGAGTACCCCATGGCTGTCCCCTGGGATCACTTCCCAATATAAATTATCTGCACACAATCTCTTGTCTTATTCTCTCCTTTGTAAGGGCACCCCAAATGTAATTGGCACTTATATTGAACTAAGGTACTCATGAGCCAAACAAGAATGCAAGGGAATGTCCATCTGAACATCAGAGGTTGGAAATATCAACCCTAAGAATAGATTGCCCTGGTGGAGCTAAGCTGCAAGGGCCAGGATAACCCTGAACTGGTCACAGTATGACAGTGCATTGTTCCTTCTGTGGCAGCATTTTATTGTCCTCTTCTTCCTTCTTCTGCATCATCGGTGGGTGTTGACCTGGAAAAGCACATTATTTTGGAGACACTTCTGCAGTATGACTTTGAACATGTTACTTAACTCTTCGAGCCTCAGTTTCCTACCCTGTGGAGGGGTTGTCAGGTTAGATAGAGCTCTAGAACCTGGCACAGAGCAGGTGATCAGTCCACAGTGCTCAGGACTGACTTGAATACACAGAGCACACTTTTGGTATGTGGTCTAAGCCATGTATGCAAGTTCAGAAAAAAATAGATTGCTTAGAGCAAATTGATAATCCTAGAGATGGTGGGCGCCTGCATTCTCTATTCATGCTACAGTCCTCACCTTCCCCACATTTGCTAATTTAAAAGCGCAGGAGGCGGCTGTTCACCACAACCTTAATATGGAAGCTGCCTCAGTGGTAATCCTCCTCCTACTACTACTCTCTGCTTTCTAGACGCTCCCCAGAACCCCTGTCCTTCATTATCAGTGGCTTTGCTGATCACCCCAAACACCCGGAATCACAGTCAGAACTCCCACGTTGTCCATTTGCCCTGCTGGAATCTCATGGAGGAGTGGCTCTAACAGAGTTATCAGAGACAGAGCTCTATCTGGTCTGCCTCTGGTCTGGGAGGCTAGTAGGGGCTGAGGTCACAAGAATGACCAAGAAGAAGGTTCATGTGACTCATGAAGAGTTTACAGATCAGAACCAGCCCTAGGGGTTGGTTAGGCCCCTCCTGAGCAGTAGAAACCAGCTCATCCCAATCCATGCATCTGAATAGATCCAATGTCTCACATATTATATGAGAGGATTTTTATGAATATCAGCACATGCTGTTGTGATTAATAAAATCCACACGTTTAGATATGTTTTTAATTTTATAGAAAATTTTTGTCCTTGTGCATTTTCTCAATTAACACAGAAACTATCATTTAGAATCCCTGATTTTATTTTTAAAGTTCGTAAGGACTATTCCTACTCAAAAAGGTTGGTCAGGCAGCACCAATGAGGATTTTCCACTGAGAGTTCAGCTGCATGAGCCCCATGGGAAAAACTGTGAAGCATAATGAGTACCATGATGCCAGCTGGCATTTGTGGGCTGCATCTTCTATTCCAGGTTCTCTGCTGAGTGGCAGATCCAGGTGCCCTTTCTCTGGACCCCTACCTCTCCTACATGGCACTCTCCTCTGGCACTGAGACATCTCTGCCTTGTTTTAGGATTGTTTATGGATTTGTATGAGCTCATCAAGGGCCAGTGACTGCCCTGCTCATTTCTTGACCCACCCCCAGGGTCAAGAAGAGTAGGCCTTCCTCAACCATGAATGGGCCTAAATAAGAAGTCTGCCCATTGCTGCCTCTGTCTAGTGTACATAAAGGCTTCAGAAAAAGGGCATGGGAGTTGGTCAGCTCTGATTGCTCAGGCCTTCCTCATTAGCTCAGGGTGGCTCAGGCCGGCTTCCCTCTGGCCATGCCCCTGGGCTTAACCCCTCCCTGGCTGAAGAAGGGCAGCAGGTACTTGGAGGCAGATGTGGAGGCCACAAACCCTTATCTCAAGTCCCAGCCCCATCCTTTTCTGAAAAGATGCCATTGGGCAGAGGGCTGATGGCATTTCAGAGGCCTTGGGGGAAGGCTGGGGAAGGCCAGTGTAGCTGCTTCTGAGTCTCCTGATGCTGGTTTCTCTTCCTGACAGGTGCTGAGTGGCACCTACCTAATAGGCCTGTCCTATCCTACCCAGGGTTTTATATCTGATTTGAGAGTCAGGAAGGCAGCATGGCCTCCAGAATACACCGATGTTTCCCTCCACTCCCAGAGCTTTGCAAGGTCCTGGGTGAGGAAGGCCCAGCAGTGCATTACTCCAGGTGTTTCACCTCTTCTCTCTGTCTCCCTCTCAAGGCTTCCTCCTGATTTTGGCACTGACTGAAGCACTGGTATTTGCCATCCAGGAACCATCTCCCAGGGAATCTCTTCAGGTCCTCCCCTCAGGCACGACTCCAGGCACCATGGTGAGAGAACCCCCCACCTCTACCAGACACTCCTCCGTGGTGGCTATTCCTGCCTCTGTGGCGATGCAGACACACCATGACGATGAACCCTCCTCACAGCCCATAGCACCCACGGCAATGATGACGCCCCATCCGGACAGAAATCTTCCTACAGAAACCATCCCTGTCATCATGGTGACAGCAGCCACCTCGCATTCTGAAGGCTCTGTGCACACTAGGTCCCCTCCTGTTCCCACAGCAACTCCATCCTCCCACCCCCTAGAGGAGGCTGTCCCCACCACCTTGCTGACAAAGCCAACAGGAACCACCAGCCACCCGCCAGGGGAGGCCATGCCCACCATCCTGCTGACAAAGCTAGCAGGAGTCACCAGCCACCCCCCAGAGGAGGCTCTGCCCACTATCCTGCTGACAAAATCAACAGGAGTCACCAACCGCCCTCCAGGGGAGGCCATCCCCACCATCCTGCTGACAAAGCCAACAGGAGTCACCAGCCGCCCCGCCACATCACCCACCCGGTCTACCACACGCAGACCCCCAAGGCCACCAGGCTCTTCCCGAAAGGGAGCAGGGAGTTCATCACGCCCTGTCTCACCTGCATCCAGTGGCCACTCGGGGAGGAAGGAAGGCCAGCGAGGGCGAAATCTGAGCTCCACACATCTGGGCCAGAAGCGACCACTGGGGAAAATCTTTCAGATCTACAAGGGCAACTTCACAGGATCTGTGGAACCAGACCCCTTTGCTCTCACCCCCAGGAACCCACTCCAGGGTAACTCCTCACTACAGCCCCAGATAGTGGCTGCAATCACAACGCCCAACAGTACCTCGTGGGCGTCACCCACCACCCCCCTGGTGCCTGCAGAGAACAAGTCAGGCCTTAGCAGAACAGGCCAGGGGGGTGGTCCCACCTTCACCAGCCAAGGAGGGGAGCTGAACGCCACAGCAGCCTCAGGTGCCCCTACCATTCCACAACCTTCCCCAGTGCCTTCTCAGCACCCCCGCGGTGACCCACAGGATGGCCCCAGCCACAGTAACTCCTGGCTTACTGTCACTCCTGGCACCAACAGACCATTGTCTGCCATCTCTGGGGTCTTCACAGCCGCCACGGGGCCTACCCAGGCTGCCTTCGATGCCAGTGTCTCAGCCCCTTCTAAGGGGATTCCTCAGGGAACATCTGCTACCCCACAGGCCCCAGCTCACCCTCCCAGTGTCTCAGAAAGCACTGTTTCCCAGGCTGAGGAGGAGGCTGCAACCATCTCCTCCATGACCGACAGAGTGCCCAGTCCTCTCTCTACAGTAATGTCCACGGCCACAGGAAACTTTCTCAACCGCCTGGTCCCTGCTGGGACCTGGAAGCCTGGAACAGTGGGGAACATCTCCCATGTGGCTGAAGGGGACAAACCCCAGCACAGAGCCACCATCTGCCTGAGCAAGATGGATATCATCTGGGTGATCTTGGCTATCAGCGTGCCCATCTCCTCCTGTTGTAAGTGTCTTGCCCTCTCCTAACTCCTCCCTCCCCCTCTTCCTCTCCCTCTGCCATGTCAACTTGCTTATTCACAGAATTCAAGTCCACTAGGAGCTCTGGAGGAGCTCTGGTGGCATAGTGCCTAAGGCACTTGACTGCTAACCAGAAGGCTAGCGGTTCAAACCCACCAGCCACTCCTCAGAAGGAAAGTTGGACAATCTACTTCCATAGTGATACTGCCTCGGAAACCCAAGGAGGGGTCTCTATGGGTCAAGTCCAACTTGATGGCAAATAACAACAACAACAACAACAGGAGCTCTGGTGGTGCAGTGGATAAGGCGTTTGGCTGCTAACCAGAAGGTCAGCAGTTCAAACCCACCAGCTGCTCTGTGGAAGAAAGATGGGGCAATCTACTTCCATAAAGATTTACAGCCTTGGAAACCCATAGGGGTCGCTGTGAGTTGGAATCAACTCAGTGGCAGTGAGTTTGGTTTTTGGTTTTAGTATTGCCCCAGACCTGGGCAGTCTTTACCAAGTGAACTGCAAAAATTCCCAAAATCTCAGGAAACACAGTAGTAAGACAAGATTCATAGCATAGGTCAACCCTGACCCTGCTCCTTGGCTCTCCCAGGCCATGGCTCTGTGCCTACTGACCACAAAGCCACAACTCCCAGGAGCTGGGGAAGACCTTACAAACAGTCTAATCCAACCCTGCATTTTGCAGAAAAAAATGGCAAGTTGGAGAAGGGAGGTAGCTCACCAAGGGTCCCAGAGCTAGTGAACAGCAGAATTGGGATGATGAGAGACTGAAATTTGCCTCTTTATAATTTCTGCTCTGTGTTCTAAGCCTTACCCTCTGAAACCACACCAAAAAAGTCCATTTAACAACCCCTAAAACATATTAAATGGCTTTCAAGAGCAGTCTTCTTTTTTCCCAGACTGTATTCATCCCCGTTCTTTCAAATCTTCCCCTGGGGGCCACAGTGCCCTGGCCCCTTCTCCTCTGGATGGCCTCTAGTATACCCTTGTTCTCCAGGAGGGAGCATGACCTTTGACACATGACCAACCATGGCAGAGGAGAGCAGGTAGTGGCTCCTTTGTCTGGATACTTGGCCCAGTTGAAGAGCCCGTGCTTGCATCAGCTCTGTTGGTTTCATTAGCTTCCCTGTCACCCCACTTGCTCTCACCCCAATCTTGAGAGGAATGAAAGCCCTGAGTTTTTACGCAGGGGAGGCTGTTGAGCTAGGACCTCCCACCCCAGCCTTTCCTCATGCTGTGGGCTATTTGAACAGTAGTGCTGGAGGCTTATGCCTTTAACATGAATCATGATTCCACACAGCATTATACTCTAACAAGATCTTTCTTAGTCTAGAGTCTCGATTCTTTCCGGGGGGCCACCTCTCCCACCTTTCTTCAGGTTGATGAGCAAACCAAACTTTGCCATATCATTGGTGGGTGGCCTATTTCTGCTCAAGGACCCAATTCAGGAAGAGTCAAAATGATAGCAGATTGTGGATTTGTTTTCATTCTTAATAAGAGCAACTGTATTGTCTTTCACAAAGACACACGTATATTCTTAAATCTATGATTTCCCACTTTTAAAACAGTAGAATGATAATGAGAAAATGTAGCACTATGAGCTAATATATTATTAATAATGGTCATATTTGAGAAGTAACCATATTAGAGGCAGCTTTCTAATTTTCCATTCCTTACATGTGTCTAGGATGCTTTAGTTTACAAAAGGAGCTACCATTAACATCATCATTCCATCCCTACAGCAGACTAGCCAGAGGAATAAAATGAAAACAGAATCAAACAAATGGCCTGCTCTAGCTTCATCCATTCCTTAAGGTAGGGAGTAAGTCTCTAGGTTAAAGGACTGGCACAGGGTCCCAATCACACACACAATGACTCAGACAGATCTGGTGGTGGAATTTGTCTTCTGGTTCAATGTAATATTTCCTGAGTGCCCATTCTGTGCCAGGCACTATACCAGGCACTAGGGAGTCAGAGGTGTAAGATGTGGCTCCCTCTCTAACTCCCAGAGCCCTCTCCCCAGCTGGACTTCCTCTTTGCTTGGGCTGGATATGCAGAGTAGACCAAGCCTACACACCCACCTGGGTTTTTCTGCAAAGACTTCTACCTCTCCCCTAACTCTTCTGCTAAATATAAGTTTGAAATTAGATTAGCTTTTACTGCAAACCGGAAAGCCCATGGGCTGCCTAAACCACACATGAAAATGTCAGCCAAGACAGAGGCAAGGATGCAGCCTGGAATGTTGCCTCAGGAGTTCTTCTGGCACTCTGACAAGAGGCTCCAGGTGCTATGGGTATAACATTACTTTCTAAAGGAAGATACGACCTCTTACTCAATGTGGACTCCAGATAGCATCTTGGCATCACAGAGTCTACCTCCTTTGATGTTTGTTTTGTATTTCCACCATTCACCTAGGACACTACCATAAACCCTCACTCCAAGCGCTCACTGCCCCAGCTCTGCTTGCTTCCACACATAGCTCCCTGTTCTCCATCATGGCCCCTGACTCCTGTGGGATCATTGTTAATCCAGTGAAAGCCCCAGTGAGAGGGTCAGAGATAGAAGAATACTTGTTCAGCTTCAGAACGCTGTGTGTTGTTTCAAAGAACAGATAAGGTGCACATCCAGGTTGTTTTCATAGCCCAACCCTCCCTCTATTCATCAGGCCAGCAGACCTCTTCCAAGGGCCCCAGGTTTCAGATCTTCCTAGTGGTTCTATCTTTTCTGACCCACTCTGCAGCCCTCAGAAGAAGGGTCTCACCCCTTGACAGTGTGCCAGATATTTTTAGGAGTCTGCATTGGTAATAAAATACATGCATAGGTTTTTCTCTCATCTGGTTGTTCAGACCAGCACTAGCACTGGCCCTGCTGATCAGCAGTAAACATGGCACATCCCAGGCCTGCCCACAGAGGGATGTTATCAGTTCCACCTGCCCTTCCAGATCGCAAGCCCCACCTCAGGCTGGAAGTATATATGTGTGCCAGGGCTAAGAAATGCTTTGTCTCCTGAGTCATGCCAGAGACTTGCAGCCACACAGGTTTCCAGATGTGCTGAGATCTGAAATTGATTGGATCCACCGGCACACTCCCAGAAGCAGGAGAGCCCTGTGGCACCTGAGCTGGTCTCTGCTGCCACCATCAGGACATACAGAGCCCACCATCTCCTGCTAGAGGCATCCAGGCCTGGTACTACCAGCCTCCCTTGCCCATCCTATCATGTGCCACATCCATGCTTGAGAATGTCTTCACCGCCCCCCCTCCAATGTGAGAAGATGGGGGTTTATGTATGGTGAGAACAGGAAGCAATGCCAGCTATAGATATTTTTCATGCACAATCCAAGGTAAGCATGGCCAAGGCAGAATGGCACCTCTCACTGGCCCACACATAAGGGTCTGTCAATACACCTTGCCTCACAGCAGTCTAGCTCCCTCCAGACACATGGTAAATGCCCTTGGAATAATCATTCAGCATGAAGAGAGAACTCATCAATGTGTCCAACATGGCTCTTGGCTATGTTCAGTAAATGTCAGATTTGAATGTATGTAGGTACCTTTTACTCACAGGCCCAAAATGACTTTTTAAATAAGAAAACTGGAGTGAGAATTATTCTTGACCTGGAAGCTTGACTGCTTGGGGCCTATGAACCAGTAGAAGGAGGAAGAATGAGAGGATCCTCAGCCAAGTCAAAGTTGTCCAGGGATGTCACCTTGGGTGGACCAGAGTGTCATACCTACACTCTGTCAGCTCTTCTATGCATTTCCCAACCTGGGCTCCTATGGGAACTTTCTTGGGCCTTCAACAGGCTTATTCCCCCCGGCAGGACGAACAACCACACAGTAAGCAACTTACCTGGTTTCCCCAGACCTGTGATATGATGTCCAGCCTGGCTTCTTTCCACACCCTAAGGCCTTCCCTTGGCATCTTCTGTCAACCTCCAAATGAGAGAAATGAATGTCCACAACCCTGGTCACCCCTCACATTGGAGCCATTGGACTAATCCTTTCCCCTCACTGGTCTCAGGTTTCTATTAAATGAAATGGCTTGCTGTTTCTCTAACTTTTCTAATTTTAAATCTACATGATTTTAGAGAGGAGGCCTGGTGTAATAGAAGGACTTGCCTTGTGGAATCAAACGCACCTGCATGTAACCCCATCTCTACCACTCATCAGCTGTGAAACTTCAACACATTACTTAACTTGATCCACTCTTTTCCCAAATGGGACTGATACCACTATGTTAGTTCACATCCTTCCAGAAGCAGACATCAATGTGGGATTAGGCATGCAAGAGACTTATTGGGGGAAACACTTGAGAAGAATAAATGGAAAGGACCAGAGTAGGCAGGGAGAGCCCTCAGACTGAATGTAGACCTGACACCTGTAAAAGAAGAGAAGGAAGGAAGGAAGGAAGATTAGGTAGGAAGAGTCTTGGACTAAAGTGCACTTCTAAGAAAGTTTCTTTCAGGCCCATCAGTGCCCTTGAGACATTGGAGGAATTCTGTGTCCTGCAGAAACTGGCCTGCACTAGGGAGCAGCCTGGGGAAATGGGACCTTTGTGCAAACGTAGAGGTGGATTCAGAGGGGTGGCAGCTGGGGCTGTCGGTCAGCTAAGCTCCCTGCAGTGGAAGAGCTGAATGGGGCATTTTCTCAGCCACAACACTCAACTCAAAGACTTGTGGAAATCAGATAATGCATGTAAGCTCCTACCACATTTCTGCTATGGGGCAGATGCTCAAAAGTGGCAGTGAGACCATAGTGATGATGATTTATGTTCCTGCTGTGATTTGCAGTACATTCTCAACCAGACCAGAGAGAGAACAATTTCAGCAGGTGTTTGAACAGGCTGAATCCTTGGGCCTAGAAAGTTTCTTTTCTGTTTCTCATCACATGTTGGTTCCCATCACCTGAAAGTTTGCCCCATCCCCTCCAGAAAGGTGTTCACAGTGCTCAGGGATCCATCCTAAAATCACTGACCCTCT